TGCAATCACCCAGCTTATTAATTAATAAGCCATGGTGGCTTGTTAATTACCATTTGAGTGCTGGCTGGAATTATATAGTGACTGCTGTCGGTGTGGGGCTAGTTATGATGTCTGAACCCAGCAAGGCTGGGTGGTTGGGGTAATTAACAAATACCCAGCAACCATAAAACAGGCCATGGCGAAATCCTCTCTATATTCACTTCTATGGGGAAATCCAAATGAAATCAATTAAAACCCACAAATGCAAGATTTTTTCAAACCCAAACATGTTGCCCAGTCCTTCTTAATTTTTCTTTGTTTTACTGAAATATCATGAAATTTGTTTGCCACTTCATTCTTTCTCTATGAGGGAAATAAAACAACCCTTCAAATACTTTTGCATCCCTTTAAACATGCTTACTGCTCAACAAATTAAAAAATAACAATATTTTCGTACTTTCATAAACCTCTGTGCTATTCACATTTCCAGGGTCATTCAGCACCAGTTCATCTAATTTCTAAATATCTTAAAAATCATGCTACTCCAGTCTGCCTAGTTTTTGCAAATGCCAAGAAACCCCCCACTTACTTAGGTACAGATCTGCTACACTAATTTTTGGATGCCTGCTGAGCATATTATTTCAGATTTCCTATAAAGAGGGCCAAATTTTCAAAGAACTGTGGTGGTTGTTGGTGTGTTATTTTTTTCTCCATGGCCCGATGTCCATTTTTAATTCTGATTGACCTTTGTGGGTATAGTCAGCACCCTTTAAGTTTAAGATGATCAAAATGCAAATCATGGGTACATTGCAGAAAAAGCGAATCACTCTTAAACCTTAGTAATATCTGTTTTAATTGATTTTGACAAACACTATGGAGGTCTGTACTTGGCCATGTGACTATGTAATTCCAAAGAAATGGCTGCTAGTCTCCTCTCCAACCCAAAATAGATAGTAACATGACACTTACCAGCAAGTTCTACCAAACAGATGAACTTGGCAAATTCCGTTTCACTCGGCTTCTCATTAACTTTATGCAGTTTCTTTTCTGCATGAAAATAATATACATTATTGTCTACAGTTCTCCAAAAGTGCTCATTTTTATGTGCACTTGCCTGAGTATTTGCATTTATGCAAGCTATTTTTCTTATGATATTCTAATGCATTTTTGTACATTATTTTGAGCATTTTTGCATGCACATTTCAAATAATATATTTTATAGATATTTTTAATTGAAGAACTGTATTGCAAAATTTGAAAAATTGTGAATGTCAATGTAGAATTGTCCTTCAGTTGATTGGAGAAGTGCAAATGAATTAAGCACAAATTAAAATGAAAACCAAACTACTTTCTCCCCATTCCTACCAAGGGAAAATCATCAGTGTAATATGATGATAACAGTAATTTGTGCTACTCCTGAATACTAGGAAAAAATATGGGGAATTAAGCATAGCGTGACTTTTATCTGGGCTCTGTTCACAAGACAAGGAGTCTTCCAGCCATTGCCACTGTTGGGAATGGAGTTGGGGGAGGACTCTCAGACATAAAAGGAAGGCTCAGACATAACCAAACTGATGATGATACCAAACACTTTGGTTCCTGCAAGCCAGTGTCCAAGTGTTAGAGCATGACCCAACAGTCAAAATAGACATGGAATTAATTGTTTGAATAACATTAATTTTGAATGTTTTTGTTATTTGAATGGAACCACAGGGAGTCCTGAGTCCTGAAAGTTTGAAGTGCCTCTTCTAAGGCTCAGTTGCCAACAGAAGAGCTTTATGTATAATATGCTGCATGTTTTGGTATACTGGCCTTGTCTTTTTGCCTTTGGCCGCACCCAGGGGAATGGAGCCCCTGAAAATCTCTCTGTGATGGATTGTTTTGGCCTTAGTCCAAAGAGGATCTGCACTGCTGTCTTAAAGTCTCAGGATGTGCTCATCAAAGCCCATTCTGTCCATTGCAGTCATTTGCCCCTCACTCCCATCTGATCCAAACACACAAAAATAACAGGGCACCGCTTCAACATGTTCAAAACATGGAACGAAAACAACCCTTCCCATCCACACTTAACGTGTCAAGTGACAGAGTGTTAGCCTAGCTGTCCCTTTGATGTGCTGCCTTTCCATACACAGGAATAAAACAAAAGCTGCATCCAGATACTGGTTTTCCTCACCTCCACTCTGAAATGATACATTCCAGAAAGGGCTGTACCACATTCTGTTACAGCAAGTTTGAATAATCCCTGGGAAGCATAGAGGAATTGAAAGGAAGGTTTAACAAAGCTTTCCATTAATCTGGTAATGCTGACTCCTGCACAGAAATTGAGCATGGAATTTCATGATCAGCAGAAACACACGGCACATCCCTTTTCCTAAGCAGGGCTGCTCTGACTACAAATAGGGAATGCTTTGTCTGAATGATTGTTCCACCCCACCAGCCTATGATCTGCTAGCTGCAGTCCAGAAAATTATATCATGTGATTCTGTTGGCCTTGTAGCTCAGTGGCTTGAGGGTATCCAGGCACAATGCCAGACGGGCCGTGGCAATCCCAGACAAGCTGGCCTGTTTTCTATAAGTGTCTGCTCTCACCCACTCCCTTCATCCAGCTCCCATGGCCTGCCTCTGCTTGCCTGCATCACTCACTTGCTGTCATGTATATTAAATTCCTTTTGAGGCTGTGTATGGTCTACAGCACCTTGACTGGTTCAAACAAACTGGGAAAATACAATTTTGGAATAGCATTAAAATTATTGTGCATTAAGGAGCCTCAAGGTGGAAAGAAAGTACTTATTCTCATTTGTGCCACTTATCTGGGTCTCTTTCTGGTGTGGTGAACAGCTCAGGTTCATGATGTGTGATGCATATATAAATTCTCTGGGCGGCCATATGGACAAGGGGAGTCAAAGATGGCATTTGCAGTTCCCAATATGTTCGAGCACATCCTTTGTGAGTGATTTCCAAACTGCACACTCCACTACAGTATGGAAAACATAGAAACAGAGTGAGTTAGAAGGGGCCTCCCAGGCCCCTTCTTGTCTGACCCCCAGCTCCAGCCGGCTCTGTTCATGATAGGAGTACCAAATGCATCTCCAAGTTTAAAACCTTTTAAGCACCAGGAATGGCACTTCTTTGCTCTGATGAAACAGCCTCCCCTGACTGCATGGCTGGGATGGAAAGGAATAGCTGGAGTCTGCAATGGAAAACTAGACCGTGAGAACCCGGGGGATGTGGGCATTGTAAGGTTTGGTTTGAGAAGCAGTGAAAGCAGAACTCCGTGGAAGCATGGCCAGCTTCAAGAGGAGGCCAATCGTTCATGAGTTAGGGTTCTTCTCTTCACACATTCAAAGCCACATACCTTCCAAGCAAAATCTTTTTGATTGACCACAGCATTTTCCAGAAGCCGGAATGGCTCTCTGAGCATGCGCAGAGCAGTGTGTTGACCCCAGCCTAGTGTTGAACTCCAACTCCTTGGGAGCATGCCTGGGTCCTTCTGAAAACAAACACGCCTCCTCTCTGCATGGCAATCCTCTAATTTGGCCATCCTCCACTGCTGCCATTGCATCACGGGGTCCAGAGCCGTACCTGCCATGTCCGTCTCTGAGAAACCCCTGTTCCGAGCCCCCTCCCAATAACCGTACATCTTGTTTATACTCAGAGGCCACCTGCTCTCCTGGGGAGCCTTGAGATAAGTGCCTCTGCTTCTCTCATCTCACATCTGGAACTGGCTCACATTCCAAGGCCCTCTCCTGCTCCTCTTCCTCCTCCTCCTCCTCCTCCTCTGAAGTCCATCCAGGTGGCCTTAAGGATGTGAGCCAAGAACAACTGTTGTTCTCCCTTTCAACACATGGTAGGGAAGCTGCTGTGGACCCGCACCCCAGCAGGGGGCTCCTGCAAGTACCCTTGGAGTTGCTCTTCACCATTGCACCCTGCTTGTCCACTCACCTCTGACCCAGCCAGTGATGATGGCGACCAGGAGGAGAGGTAGATACCACCGCAGAAAGAGAATGAGAAGTAACAGTAAGCAGTGGCAGCTGGTGTAAGCAGCAGGACGAAGATAGACTAGATAGATAACAAAGGAAAGTTGTCCATTGAAGGCTCACACACATCTGGAGTGGCACTGGCTGGAAGCACAATTAGTTTAGGCGAAGGGATTTCTGGAAAGTTTGGAAAGAAGGAAAGCTTCAGTTCCCATGCAGTTGTTTGTGTCTTACTGGTTATTTAAATTCCCTGAACAAATTTTAGCATCCCCTCCCCAAGCCAAACCCAACTCACCAGCCACATATTCTGCTTTGTAGTTAACATTACATTAATCTTTATGGCTTTTTCTTACCTCTAGTGAGAGTTCTGGCAATTGGGATTGTTTGGGTGATCTAGGAATTCTCTGCCACAGAGGTTCGCAGATGTTGGTGTTAGCACTAGTGAGGGTGTAAGGATGTTGCTCGTGGCATTGGTCTTAAACTAGGGAACACCGAATATCCTTCATAGTTCATAAGCTCCAGCCAATTTGTTTATTCCATGTAGTCAGCTTCACGCTCATCCACAACCACCACTGTGCTCTGAAAATCTTGATGCTCCCTGAATGCATGAAACTTTGGGCCCATATACGTATCTGAAAGATATTACCTAGATTTCACAGGAGATCCAAGAATCTAGAACAGTGTATTATGTAGCTCCTTTACACACACACACATACAACTAAAACCAAATGTGTACATTGGGCTTTTTAACTTCTAACTCCCATGTTTGTCTTTTCCTGTTGGTGGGAATAGTCCCTTTTAAAATTTATTGTGTAGCGTATGTCTTTGGGAACAAATAATGCACCTTGGTGTATTTACTGTTGTTTAGCAAACTAATAGACTTGCATCATGTGACTTTTCTGATAACCTGCATCCTTTGTCTTGCCTGAAAATGTGTTGTGTCTTTTAATTTGAATGTCTGTATGTGCTGTCATTTTAATTTTTAAAGGAAGTGGAATAAATCCAACTGATGCTTCAGTGCCTGTATTTTTGCTTTCCTTTCAGTGGCCCCACCGTCAAGATTAAGATATACTGTTGTTAATCATGACAGTATTCAGATTTCATGGAAAGCCCCTAAAGGGCAAATTGATGGATATAAACTCCTCGTCACTCCAAATGCAGGTAAAAGAAAAGAAAACGTCAAACTGAATGTCATGTTTCCTTAGAAGCTGATGCAGCATTCTTTGTAAATATATGAGGACAGAATTCTAACAATTCTGTATGTGGAGGTAGGTGGAGTACATTTTGGGACTGTACCTCGTTGCTTATGCATCCTGGCCTCAGGTTGTTCTGGCCCCTGAGATTATAGAAGCCCACTCAAGCTGTGTTGAAAAAGAGAAGTGTTCCTTCAGTTCACTAGTTTCTAGTTCATGGCTTTTATTGGGACCTTCCGGCCTTACCTCTTAAAGAGTCTGCAATGGCGGACAAATTTGACTGAAAGACAGTGCAATCCAATAGCTATCATCTCCCTTGGTGTGTAACCATAGCAAAGTGTTGGATGTGTTCTAGTGCACACTTTCTGTTGATAAAGGACCATGATGAGGAGCAGCAAGGCTGTCTCCCTTCGGCACATGGAGAGCCACATTGCAGAGGAGAACTGGGCCTATGTTTGGAAGTTTTGCCTGCAGGCTGGTACCCTGTGCCACAGACTGTCCCCTCTGCCCAGCCTTATTGGCCAGGGGCACAGGACCTGAAGCCCAGAGCCCAGTCCAGTTCCCTGTTGAATCCTCAAGCACTATGCCCCTTTCCTTATGTCCCTTTGTTTTCCCTAAGCACTGACAGCCAATTGGTTCCCTGGTTTTTGTGCTGTTTTTCCTCATTCTGGAAGGTTGAAATGCCTCTCTTAAAGCTCCCATTTGAGGACACAGAATGCTTTTTACACTCACATTCTGTTCTGAAGAATGTTGGTGTTAATGGTTTGAACCAGATTGTGGTGTTCTTTTAATTTGGCAGGAGCACAATGGGAAGAGCTTTTTCACAAGTCTGTCCCACTGCACACCTGTAATATTTAAAAGCTCATAGTCCTGTAAATCTCCCAGAACTTCTAACAGAGTATGAACTCCATGGAAAGGATCTGTGATTTAAGCGCCACCAATAGGTTTGCAAGCCATTAATGTCAAATATTCCCCATAGGAATAATGCAGGGGAAATTGCTTCCCCAGTGTTCATGCTGTGAGATACCTGAATCTTCATAGAACTTGATTTCCACTGAGGAAAGAGAGAATGTTGATGTAACCATCAAGAGATGAAACCTTCACTGGTTTAAAAATATAACTGTATAACTTATTGTTAGCTACCTCAGTTTACCTTCCCTGAGATTATCTTCACACACTTGAATAAACTGTGGTTCTCTATACCTTAAGCTGTACTAACGTCTGTTGAATCTTTGTTTCATTGATATTACTGATGAAAATGTGGTTTGTGCATAATGCTGACCCATGGGAATAATTTGATAAAATGTGGGTTGTCTGGTTTGCATGTAATGAGCGCTCTGAGTATGGGTTGCCACCAAACTACGGAGTGCTATGTGTGAATCCTTCAGTATGGTTGAACTGTGGCTTGTTAGCCATGAGCAACCAAGGAAGAGAACTTGCAGTTTGTTGAGCTTGTTGCTGGGTTGTAAACTCTGGATTCATCATAGTTAATGACCCATGTTTAAATCATAGGGTAGGGTTCACACAAAAAAAACAAGCCACAATTCAAGAACAACCCATATTCAACTAGTACTTTGGGTTTTCGTTATGTGGGAACCAGGTCACAGTGTGAGATGCCCTCTTGCTATATGCCTGGATGACTCTAAACTGTACAAAACACAACTGCTTCAGACAACACTTTTCACCTCCTGGAATGGTAGAACTTCAACATGCTACTCAGATTAAAAAAAAAAATCCACATCATTTTGGGCTCTAGACTCTGTGGCATGATCAATTTTCTAGACAGTCATTTCTAATGTTGTGGGGAGGGCCACTTAATCATGCATCCGCCCTCCCTTACATTCTGAAGTGGCAGGATAAGCATTCAGTGACATAGACAGAAATCCAGCAATCTGTAGCAAAGCTGCATGTGCATAAAAATGATTCATGAGAGCTAAGGAGGTACATAGAAACATGATGAAAAGCTGTATTTTTCTGATGTCTGCCCAAGGAGTAGCTTGCAGTGCTGAGGAATTCTTGATTATATGCAGATTTATATTGATGTGTTCAAGCTAGAACCTAAAAGATCTTCTAAGTCTTCCAGGATTTTAAGATGGGTGTGTGAGAGAGAAGGATTACAACATGCTTCTCTGCTTGGAGAGTCACCTGAAGAAGTCTAGACTAGATGGTGTGATTTGGTGTAGGGGAATTTTATGCACTGGTATGGTTTAAGGTAACGAAGCTTGAAAAATATATAGTATTTTACGCAGGTAAAAATGTCGGTCACAATGCTATTTTTAAAGTTATTTAAAACTGTACTGCTGGTCTTGTTTATTTTACTTTAGTATTCCTTATTTATTTATTTCTATGTTATTTTTCAGGTGGAAAAACCAATGAGCTCACTCTTCAAAATAATGCAAACAAAGCAATTATTCAAGGTCTTATTCCTGATCAAAGTTATATGGTTCAGATAGTTGCATTTGCTAAGGACCAAGAAAGCAAACCAGCTCAAGGCCAGTTCCGAAGTATGTTGTCTCCTATTATCTGCATGTCCCATAGGACTTTTCTCTGTGGGGCAAGCTGGGCTCAAAATAAAAAGAAACATAAACTCAAACACTCCAGGAATTTAATACTCTTTAAGTGGAGTTAAAAAACATTTACAAAAGTATATGTAATTTGAATTATATGCTAGACACTTATAAATACTGTTTGTCAGTGTCTTAAATCTGTGTTGGAGATGTGGAAGGTGAAAAGGAATATTTGCATGTAGCTGCTGGATATGTTCTCAGGATAAAATAATATGGTTGGAGGTTGTAAATGGAATTTGAGAGATATTGACTTATGCTATCCTACTTAGCCCACAAGCCATTTTGTGGAAGGCAGTAGATCATGGATGGATGACTTGTGGTGCTCCAGATGTTTTGGTTTACAACTCCCATGAGCCATGGCCAGCACAGTCAATGGAGAAGAATTATGGGAGTTGTAGGCCAAAACATCTGGAGGGCTACATGTTGACAACTCCTGCCTGTAGATAGCAATGTAAGGAAAGAACATACTGTAATGCTCACCACGTTGCGCATGTGACTGAATATGAAAATGGAAAATATGCAATAGTATTATAATGCATAAAATCACAGCTTATAAACATTTATGGTAGGAAAAACATAACACAACAGACATTTCAGCAGACATGTTTTTTATTTATTCAAATCTGGAACTGCTGTTAAGTCTTCTGGCTGAGCACCAGTAGATCTTTTAAGCATGTGGAGTTAAGAAGCTCTTCTACTTGTATTGGTAAAGCTGGATTATCTCACTGCTGTGGAAGTGAATGATTATGTACAATGTGTCTGATAACCATAAATTTTGATCTACAACAAATAAACAAAGGATTATGGGACTTGACCTATAATCAACACGACTGCCAGCCCTTGTCATTCTCGGCAGGAGAGTAGTGACACCTGGACTGGTCTCCCCTGACCTATTGCATTTTTGGCAGGTTCATCTGGCAGTAACATCCCTGTCCGGGAAGCCAGCTGCCATGTCTCATTTTCAACAGGGCTCCATATAGCGTCCTTCAAGGGCACTGTGGGAACTTAGCAGGCTGGGTGGCTTCTCAGCCACTGTCACCAAGTAATCCCAGGACCAGTGACCACCTAGCTTGGGTTCCTCTTACTTGGAGCTGGCCTGAAGTGATGGATTGTCTGAAGTGATGTCCTACTCTTGGAACCTAGTCGTTGGTTTTCTCCTGGTGAATAGAACAGTAACTTCTGTACTTCAGCCAAGGATATTGTTAGGCTTAAAGCTATGGAACACTGGCCTTGACTCTTTTTTCCTGGGTCCCAAATCTATTCCATAGAGCCTAGAACATCCTTTGGTCCTAGTCTAAGTCTTTCTTTTCCTCAGCTTAATTGCCACACAGGAGGTAATTTTCAAGAATTGCAGCTGGAAAGGAAAAAGTCATATTTCCTGTAACACCCTCCAAAAGGCAATTAACTCTTCCTGTCAGCTAAGCTTAGAAGGAAACATTTTTCATTAGTTTAGCAATACCTCTGCTTCAGGTTTCCACTTTTTCAGTTTAAGTTCAGCCCTCAGTAGACCAGCACACACCTCATATGTGGAAGGTCCCTAGTTCAATTCCTGTCATCCCAGTTAAAAAGATCAGGTGGCTAGTGATGGGAAAGACTGCTGCCTGAATCCCTGGAAAGCTCTCTGTCGGGAAGCACCCTTTGTCTTTTGCCCAGTGTTCTCTCTAACCCAGGAGTAGATTTATGTGTCCATTGGTCCCTGAAGGAATAGATTGGAGAGATCTTGACAGCTGTTTGTGGAACATCTTTGCCAAGCTCTCTTACAACCAACTTAAGGCAACTTTCTTAATGCAATTGCCTCTATTTACTACAACACCCTGATTGCAATACCATCAAAACCACATGCTTCTTAAAAGTTAGAAAACAAACTATTAGATTGTTGCTCCAGGCTCTGAGTTATTAGCTGTGGTTGTTCTTTTGCAGTTGCTTAACTCTTCCAGAAAAGCAGGGCTGACAGGGAGATTTCAAATGTAAGATTAAAAGTGTATTTAAAATACGGTTACTTTGACTTTGCTGTCTTTTTATTGGCTATAGCAAGACATAGAACATAATGTGACTTCATAATGAATTCAGACACTGAGTGCTTGCAAAGCCCTCTTTTTGTATCTTAAATTGTGATATTCTGAATATACTTTCCAGTTCTTAAGACCACTGAAATAAAGGATAGTGTGACAACTGATTGATACAATACAGCTTCTCAGGTGCACAACTTTGAAATTTTAAGTGAATGTAGCGCATAGTATTGTTGTTTTTGTCATTATCAGTCCATCATGTTGTCTGAACCCAGTCATGGTATTTCATCATGGTAAATTAGGTCTTGAAAAATCGCAGTAATAAGCAACAATTTGTTGTATGGTTTCTCCATACCACCATGACTACTTGTGTTGTCTGAAACCAGGAACATAGTTGTCATGGTCCTCCTGTGCAACTACCACAGAGTCCCCTGGAAAGAGTGGCAACTGCAGGAGCCACATCAGCCATCCAACCTCTATGTGTAGACCAGTGTGAAAGAGGCAGGCAAGAGAGGCAGGAAGTGATGCCCCTTGGAAATGAATTTCAGGCACAGTGGCTGATGGGATGTGAAGAAGTACTACAGCTCATAACACGCCCCATCCAGCATGTTGCTTGGGAAATAGGATGCGAGTTGTAGGAGGTCTTTTTATTTAAGTATGGATAAATTGTGCCCTTAGTCACTTTGGGTATCTGTGCTATTTGTTTTTGCTGGTGAATTACTTTAATTTTTGTTATTTTCACTATTTCTCTTTCATGCTGTGCTTGCTGCCTTTTTCAGACAAAAGTAGTGCATTACAATTTTAAAAGATGCAAATACAAATCAATAAATAAATTGCTGGAAATAATAGAAAACTAGAGTGTGGCTGAAATATAAAACTATTTAATGAAGCAGAATGTAGAAATATTAAAATGATGTATTGTGTTTGACTATTTCTATTTCTGAATACCAATTTTGCAGTTAAAGATCTTGAGAAAAAGAAGGATACATCAGGCAAACCCAAAGTCAAAGATGTAGGTAAATGGAAACCCCCTGTCCCAACAGAAGATTCAGAAAGTACAGCAACTCCGCACGTACCAGGTCAGAATTTATGGGAGAAAAATGAGAAAAAATGAAAATGGTGTTGCTTAATACCATCCACATTTTACTATACTTGGAAATTAGAGAACTATACTGTCCTGGCAAATAACTTTTTCCTCTTGTTTTCAAACTTTGGCATTTAATAACATCAGGTACTTTTTCGTGCATCATCAAATATTAAATAATCAATACTTGTTTGAATTGCTGCTGTGTTGCAATTGCCGAAGTATTTTCTTTTGGTATTGTTTCGAAGTATTTTGTTTTAACACCTATTGAAGCAGCGAATGTAGTGCCTAAGGTCATACATTACAGCTGAACTTCCCAAGAAAGCATCTCCTTCCGAACCCTCCAAAACACACCCTCCTGGGGCATTTGCTATCAGAGAAGTACAGATATAGGAGCACATTGTCTCAGGGGTGTTGGTTGCAGAGAACATAACAACACATCTTCCAAAGTTGCAACCATTTTACTATCATTTTCAGATTAACTAATGAGACTTGTTGAGGGTGACGGTATCTTTTCATGCCAGGGTGGCATTTGTTATGATGAAATTATGTTTGCACTTAAATAGTCTCTATGAGGAAAATGACTAGCTTTTTAATTCTATTAAGAATTCAAAACCCATTTTTTAATGATGTAACATTTCAGAGCGGCTAGTTAGCTGCAGAAATAACATGTGTAGATCAACTTAAAGCACTCCCTTTGTATTCGCTTTTGTTTTCATCCATGAAACAAACCCTTAGTCTTTTCAGGTTTGTGATCAGGTGAGGCAGAGGTTTGTGTTTCCATATCTTACTGTGTTCCTATTGGTCTGGCTCAGTTTTGTACTGCCAGTAGAGTTACTTGCTTTTGACCAGCACTGGTCACACTCAAATGACAGGAAATAGGGTACAAAATCCATGACTGACTCATTAAGAATATGTCACTGCAGGCTCTGGCTGCTAGTTTAGACTGATCTGGGGAGCAATCGTTTGATATCTGAGACAGTGTCTGAGGGATCCTAAAATATTTTGGTTTCAAGGTTCAAGGTCAGAGATAGTGCTAGAACCTCAAAGGGGAAGCCAGATCTCCAATGTTGGAAGATCAACTTCAGAGAAAGGGAAAAGTAGGTGGTGAGGTGAGGAGACAGAAGAAGCAAGGAGATGAGCTGCCCTGGTACCTCTTCAACTTCCTTTCCTCCTCCAATGCAACCCAAGCAAGCAATTCCATCTACTAAGATGGAAAGCACAGAGGTGGGTTTTGCTTTCTCTGCTCTCCTCACCCTGCATAAGAGGGTGAGCATCAGCCTTAATGTCTGGTGGATTATGGGCACTACAATAGCTCTGTGCCCTTGGATTGAAATTTTAGATGCAGTTGCTAGGAAGGGAGTTCCATTGAACATACTCACCTGGTTTGCATGTGAAGACATCCCAAAGTCTGAGTTGAGTACAGTTTTTGGAATCCAGGATTGTCATTACATGCGTATCCAGCACAATGGGTTAAGCAATGTTAATATGGAATAGCCAGGAAGATAAGCCATTGTTTGCTGTTGGGTTGTGAACTTAGGGAGTTTTGCATTATAGGTTGCCATTTCGTGAAGGCTTAGAACCATGCAATGTTTTACCAGGCTACAGAAGTGGTAGACAAGACTCTTAAAAAAAAAATCCCAGTTGATGCTTGCCAGTACTAAAGTGCTGCAAGGGCATGTGGAAGGCAGGAAGGAAGCAGGAAGAACAACCCAGAAATTGAGAAATCAGCCTGGGCTTTGCAGGCAAATCATGGGTAAATTCTAGATAAGGCAGCAACTCATATATGCAAATCTGGTTAATGGAAATTTCAAGTAAACATGGACAGAATGATGCAATGAGAAAAGAATGAGATAATTGAAAGGAGAATACGTCTATCAATGACAATTTGCTATGACACTAACATGGAATCTTCATATATAAACAAAATAAAACTTTAAATATGATATACTGGGGATGAACAGAAGGAGATCACCTTGCTATCCTTTATTTATTGTTCGTAAGAATGTATATGTCAGATTTCAGTTGTGATATTTTAGACTGAGTTTTAAATAAAATAAAATACTTAAAAAAACTGAAGAATTTTGCATCCGTATGAGCACTCAGAGGCATTTGTGTAGCCATTCCTGGAGAGTGAATACTTGGAGAGAGAAGATGGATTTTGTTCTGTTCAAGAAAGTTAGTTCTGGAGTACCTCAACATGAGGCTTTTATAGCACAGTTGCCATGCCTAATTCACAGAATTTTATAATTCTGGTGGGTCCAGATATCATCAAATACTTTGGCCACCTAATGAGAAGAAACAACACATTGGAAAAGAGAGGTCTGTCTGTTGCTTTTCAGTGCCAGGTCAAGACCTTTTTATTTTTCTGTACTTTTAATGTTTAATATTTTAACTATGTTTTATTTTCAGTTCATGGATTATTTTGTATTATTTGGGTATATATGTATTTATTGCATTTAACTTGTGAGCCATCCAGAGACCCTCAGGGTATTGGATAGGGCAAAAAAAGACCCAAATAAATAAATAAAAGACCCTGATGCTGGGAACGATTGACGGCAAAAGAGAAGGGGATGGCAGAGGATGAGGTGGCTGGATGGGGTCACTGGGGCAGTGGGTGTGAGCTTGGCTGGACTCCGGGAGACAGTGGAGGACAGGAGAGCCTGGAGGACTGTTGTCCGTGGGGTCATGAAGGGTCGGACGCGACTTTGCGACTAGCAACTAGACATCATTGCCTCCACCTGTTACCCTCCCACATTTTCTTACTGCAGAACATCAACTAGGAATTAAAAGATGGAACTGCTCCACAGAGCGTTCTGACTGATAGAAACATAGAAACAGAGCGAGTCAGAAGGGCTCCCCCGGGCCATCCAGTCTGACCTCCGGCACCAGCCGGCTCTGCTCACAACATGCCCACCATGGGCACGTCCAGCCTATCCTTGAACACTCGCACCGATGGGGCCTCAACTACCTCTTGTGGAAGCCCATTCCACACCCTCGGGGTCCTGACTGTCAGGAAGTGCTTCCTGGCATCCAAATGGAACCTTGGCTCCCTGAGCTTTGCTCTGTTGGAGCGCATCCTGCCTTCCTCTGCAGGGGAGGACAGGTCTCTACCCACCTCCGTGTGACACCCCCTCACATACCTGTATGTCGCCAACAGACCCCCTCTGAGTCTCCTCTTCTCCAGGCTGAAGAGACCCAGTTCCCTCAGTCTCGTCTCATACGGCTTCCCCTGCAAACCTGCCACCAACCTCGTGGCCCTACGCTGCACTGACTCTAACCTGGCTGTATCCTTTCTGTAATGATACACTAGAAAGCATCACCCCTGAGTTTCCAAAAGCCAACAGTTATTTTTCTAATGAGCAGTAGGAATTCTGCAGAATTGTATTAGGGCATGCCATCATTAAAGAGCCACTCTTCTGTAGGTTTCCATTCTCAGTCCCTCCTGTGCAAGCACTTTGAAGTTCCAGGCAGCTTCTCTTCATTCTTCATGCTCAGATAGTTTTAAGCCCAATCGCTCGTGATTCCTTTATAGGCAGCATCAGTTCCTCTTGTCGGACAAGAATGAACAGAATCCCAGCTTCTTTCACCATGCCCTGATTTTGCAGGAAACGATCCTTTGGCTCATTGCCTGATGTTTTTCTACATCAAAACTGTTTCTTTACAAGAAAAAAGGGGGGTTTAATAGGCTCCCACTGTTCCTTAGTAAGTTTAACATACAACCAATGCCTTTTACTTGCATCGCTGCAGGCCCTCTCCAGTCTCTCTGCTATCTGTTTTTCTTGTCACTGTTCTCCCCCAAGTGTTGCACAATTGCTTTCAACAGCAACAAGGCTTAACTTGACAGAGGGTGGTAGGACTTTTGTGGTTCAGTTCCACTTAAAAGTTGTATAGCTTCCCCTTTTCTGAAGGCTTGGAAAAGGCTTTGGTAAAAATGCACCAAATATAGAAATTTGTGTTGGCTATCAGTGGAAGCCGTAGTTACACTCTTTGGTCTAAGATTTTTCTTTGAATGAACTTGCCCTGGTATTATAATGTAGATAGAAAGAAACTTCTCTCTATGGAAAAGCCAGTCAACTTTTTTAAAGATTTACCCCTTCCTGCTCCCCCTTGCAGGTTATAGAAAAGGGAGCAGTGCAAGTGCTGTCCCAGGTGGAGACACCCCCAATATTATAGAAGAGAGGAAGTTTATTTTATTATTTATTTATTTATTTATTAAAACATTTTTATGCCGCCCCATTCGCCGAAGCCTTGGGGCGGCTTACAACAATACGTTAGTTCATCATAAGTAAAAATTAAAATATATACATTAAAATAAAATACAACTATACAATATAAAATAAGCCGCCCTGGCCAAATAAAATTCAATAATGTTCAATAATAAAATTCAATAATATTCAATATTAAAATTCAATAATATTAACATTTAAAATGCTGCTTAAATAAAAAGGTCTTCGCCTGGCGCCGAAAAACAAATAACGACGGCGCCAGGCGGACCTCTCTGGGGAGTGCATTCCATAACTTAGGTGCCACCGCTGAGAAAGCCCTCCTCTGAGTAACCACCCTCCTAATTTCTTTCACGGAGGGCTCCCGGAGGAGGGCCTCTCCCGCTGATCTCAGGGGGCGGCTGGGCATATATGGATGTAAGCGCTCCTTCTGATCATGCAAACTGAGTTGTTCTGATTGGCTCAGTTTGCATGATACGAGTGATGGATAAGCCATGGGGACTTGCTAGCCACCTTTGCATGTACTGACTCATTCCCTAATTATGTCTGCCCTAATTGCAACCCAGCAATGGTGGATGACTACTAACCAGCCAGCAACGGTACAATAAACTGTGGGTTCTGGGTAGTTTGCAAAACACCCCAGCCACATATTCTTGTCAAATTTGGGCTTTATGACAACCTCTGTGCAGCAAGGATAATTAGGGAACTCTGACATGCAAACTGCACTTACAAGGGGTAGTTGAAAAGCCACCATAGCTTATTAACTATG